AACAGGTGTGAGGTGATATCTCATTGTGGTTTTGACTTGCATTTTCCAGGTGATGAGTGATGTTCAGCATCTTTTCATGTGTCTGCTGGCCATCTGTATGTCTTTGGGAAAATGTCTATTCAGATCCTCTGCCCATTTTTTAATTGGATTGTTTGTTATTTTGCTTTTGAGTTTTAGGAGTTCTTTATATATTTTGGATAATAACTGCTCCTCAGATAGATGGTTTGCAAATATTTTCTCTCCTTCAGTAGGTTGTCTTTTCATTTTGTTGATAATTTCCTTTGCTGTGCAGAAGCTTTTTAGTCTGATGTAGTCCCACTTGTTTATTTTTGTTTTTGTTACCTTTGCTTTCGGAGTCAGATTAAAAAATCATTGCCAAGGGGCTCCTGGGTGGCTCAGTCGTTAAGCATCTGCCTTTGGCTCAGGTCATGATCCCAGGGTCCTGGGATCGAGCCCTACATCGGGCTCCCTGCTCCACAGGAGGCCTGCTTCTCCCTCTCCCACTCCCCCTGCTTGTGTTCCTGCTCTTGCTATCTCTCTCTCTCTCAAATAAATAAAATCTTAAAAAAAAAAAAATCATTGCCAAGACTGACGTCATGTAGCTTACCACCCATGTTCCCTTTAGGAGTTTTATGGTTTCATGTCTTACATTCAAGTCTTTAATCCATTTTGAGTTAATTTTTGTGTATGGTGTGAGATAATGGTCTAGCTTCATTTTTTTGCATGTGATCGTCCAATTTTCCCAGCACCCTTTATTGAAGAGACTGTCCTTTCCTCCACTGTATTTTCTTGCCTCCTCTGCTGTAAATTAATTGACCATATATGCATGGGTTTATTTCTGGGTTCTCTATTCGTCCATTGATCTGTTATGTTTGTTTTTATGCCAATACCATACTGTTTTGATTACTATAGACTTGTAATGTAGTTTGAAATCAGGGAGCATGGTATCTTCAGCTTTGTCCTTTGGTAACAAAGTTAAGAGAGATGAAGAATGTTTCTTCTTTGAAGTTCAGTATAATGGTTGTAAATCAAGGCTGCTTTTCTCTGTCAAAGTGACATAGGTCCTCCTGGCAAGAGTGGGATAGTTCATTCTTAGTTATCTAATTTCAAATAGCAGAGTTTCTGATAGATGATGATTTTAGAGAACTAAGTTTCTCAGTGAGTAAGAAAATAGTAGTTACTCCAAGGAGGGAATTGTTAGGACATTTTATAGCTGTAGAATGTCCTTGGAAGAAATACTGTTTCCTGTTAACTTCATAGCTTACTTTATTAGTGCCTGTTATTCCAGCCTGATAGATTTTTATGTTTTCAGGCCAAACTAATTTTTACTTTCTTACTGTACAGGGGACTTGGTTGGTGGCTCTGTGATGTCATTAGGAACCTAACTCCTTTTACTTTTCCATTCCATTAAACTTATCATGAGCTTGTTACTATATGATAATGAAATGGTTAGTCAACCTTCAGCATAGTGTCTGCATTCTATGCAGGAAGAAGGGAGCAGTCAAGGGAGCATGCACCATGTATGCTACCTTCAAGAGTTTTTCCTGAAAGCCCCACCCAGTGACTTCCAGTTACATCTTATTGGCCTGAGCTGCATCAGGTGATATCCCTGCGAGTGTGTGATAAATTCATTTTTAAAGTTTCATACTGTTGCTCCTTAATAATTTTTTTAGTAAGGAAGTTAGGGAGAATGGATATTAAGTGAGGAGATGGAAATCTCTACAACACTTTCCAAACTCCAGTAAAATGATTTTAGAGGAATAAAAAAATATAAACATACAGGAACAAAGAATACATGAGAGAAGAGTAAATGTGTCAATTATTTTAAAGTTGTAAAGCAGATGGAGAAATGTTACCTTGACTTACTTAAACTGAGGAAGTGAAAATCTTTAACAGGCTTTTCTGTTTTTCATTTCCTTGTCCTCCTCCCTCATTCCTCTTATCGAGTGAGATTTGATCTGGAATTACAATTATATATATAATTTACTATATAGTTATAATTTCCTACATAATTTTTACTGCTTATTGTTGTTTCATATATTTACATTGATATATATGATTTTTCTGCCCCAAATAATATGTGTTTAGCTTGATAGCTCTCTTGGAAGTTTTTGCTCAATTCTTTAATTTTTCCCTTTTAACTTATTTTTCTTTCTGGAATACATTCTCTAGTAATTCTTTCAGAGATTATGCATGGGAGATAAATCATCTTAGTCCTATTGAATCAACCTCATTCTTAAAGTTTAATTTGAGTGTGTGTAGAAAGTTAGATTTAAACTTATTTTCAAGATTTTTTTTTTATGACTTTTGAAGCAATATTTGACTAAAAGTCTGACATCAATTTCTCATTTGTTTCCTCTTTCTGGAAGCTTTTAGGATTTTTACTTTATGCTTAGTAATCTTATTGTGATATGCTTGAGACTTGGTCATGAACCCTTTCTATCTGAGTGCTCATGTCTTTCTTTAGTTTGGGGACATGTTCTTTTATTATGTTTTGAGTAATTTCTCTAATCAACTTTCTTCATTCTGTCTGGAACTTAGACATATTTTGGAATGTCTGCATTTATCTTCCATGTCTCTTAACTTTCCTTTATTCTTTATAATTTTTACGACCTTTTACTCTACATTCCAAAAGATTTTCTCACCTGTTTCTTGCTTACTAATTCCCTCTTAGGCTCTGCACATTCTGCAGATCAGCTTACAGTCAACTACTTATTCTCAGCCAATATCCATTCTTCCCATTGTGGTAAAGCTTTAGCTGGGCACATGGCTGCCTCACTGCAGACTACATTTCATAACCTCTTTTGTATATTGGCAAGGCCAAGTAACTAAGGCTTGGAAAATGAAATTTGAGGGTAAACGATGTGTGCCACTTTTGGATATTGCTTGTAAAGTGACTGGGTTGCAATTCTTTTGTCTTTTTCTCCCTTTCTACTGGTTGAAAGATGATGAGAAATGAACCAGCCACCTAGGGCATAAAAGTAGGAAGCCCTAGGTGTTGAATTTGTTGAATATCATAGAGCTTTCTACCAGTCATTCTAAAACTTTAGCATGCATCAGAAACACCAGGAGAACTTGTAAAATACAGAATCTGTGCCCTACCCAGGATTTCTGATTCAGTAGCTCTGGGGTGGCGCCTGAGAATTTGCATTTCTAATAGTTTTCCAGATGAAACTGCTGGTCTGACCATCACTCTTTGAGAACCACTGTTCTAGTAATTCTGTTTCACACAATAGTAAACTTTTCTTTGTTGAGTGAGGAGCATTATATTTTGTGGGCTCTTCCCGAATGTTTGGTTATTCTCGAGTGTGTGTAGGTAGGGTATTTGAGGTCCCTGATGTCCAGTGTGCTACGCATATTTGTTTACTACAGCCTTACCACAGTGGATTTAGGGGATGGCCAAGCCTTGATTCTGGAAGAGAGAGAGTTTTCTGAAGAGGGAGCTTCTATTCATCCTGGGTGTCACCAGCCTCTGGGACACTAACTGTTCTTGCCTAGAGGCAAATATTTTTGTTGCTGTTTACCTAAATTGCTCTAGAGAAGCCTGTTCCTTTTGCATTTCTCAAGCGGTCACCTTGTCAGTTGCCCTAACACCTCTTCTGCTCATAGGATCCACTGATTTAGGGCTTGAAGCTGTCTTATAGAATCTTCTGTATTTTCTAGGGGCGCCTGGGTGGCTCAGTTGGTTAAGCGACTGCCTTCGGCTCAGGTCATGATCCTGGAGTCCAGGGATCGAGTCCCGTGTCGGGCTCCCTGCTCGGCGGGGAGTCTGCTTCTCCCTCTGACCCTCCCCCCTCTCATGTGCTCTCTCCTCTCATCCTCTCTCTCAAATAAATAAATAAAATCTTTAAAAAAAAAAAAAAAAGAATCTTCTGTATTTTCTAGCTTGCCTTTCCACCTTTCCCTTGCATGATTAGGCATAGATTCTTTCTTCAATTTATTCTGTCTCCTTTCTTGAAGGGATTCTTCATAGTTTCTGTTCCTTTGGAGGACTCCTTTAGTATGATTCAGTGTCCTTATTGATTTCTGCTTATATGATTTTCTGTAATTACCAAGGATTAGGATATGGTAAAGGGATGAGTCAGCATATTCTCTGTCCTCAATTTTGATCTAGCCTCTCCACATTTTATTTTTATTTATGATTTTAGTAAATACAAATATAAACTCTCAGCTGCGTTGCAAGTTTCTTGAGGATCTAGTATTATACTATAACCTCAGACATATTTATATTTCTCATTATCTCAAAATTATATATTTAATAAATACTTGTTTGCTTAAGTCTCTCCTTTATCTAACCTGCCTTTGGTGGGTTCTACACATAACCTACCTGCCTTGCGTTTAGTTAACGAAATTTTGTTTTAAATATGAGCCTAAGCTAATGATAGTTAAGATAAACTAGAGACAATATTTATAACAATAGTAGTATTTATTGAGGACTTGTGATATATCAGGGTTAAGCTAAGGACTTTATATGCAAAATAAACCAAAATCAAAAACACTAGTGAGTAGTGGAGGGAAGATTTAGACTAAATTTTACTCCAGAGCCCATGCTCTTTTTTTTTTTTTTTTAAGATTTTATTTATTTATTCATAAGAGACAGAGACAGAGAGAGAGGCAGAGGGAGAAGCAGGCTTCCTGCTGAGCAGAGAGCCCGATGCGGGACTCCATCCCAGGACCCTGGGATCATGACCTGAGCCGAAGGCAGACGCTGAACCATCTGAGCCACCCAGGCGCCCCCAGAGCCCATGCTCTTAAGCATTGTACTAACTGCTGCCTCCTAGGAAGGCGTATTTGCTAAATTTCAAAGCCAGATTGCTGATGTGCATTATCCACAGCTTGTATGTTCTAATGTGTGCGAGATATCTGGCATAGAGCTAAATCTAGACTCTCGGTACTTTTTAGTAATTACCACATTGGAATAGAAATAATCACCATTGCCTTTTGTTATTATCTGATATAGTTGATAATAAACACTTTATTTCCTTTTAATTTAACTATAGGTAATAGTGCTACAGACTTACTATAGACAATGGCATGCTAAGGTTGTGGTAGAGAATTTAAAAAGACAGAAAATGTTAAGATTGAAGTGGGAAGCAGAGGAAGAACTAAGGAAGGTACGAGAAAAAGAAGAATGGATCAAATTGGACTATTACCGGAGGCATAATCCTCAAACAAAAGAAGATTTTGAGCTTCTTTATAATGCACTGGAACGTAAGTTTGAAATAGCCTTTGCATAAAATACTAATTTTATAATTTTTCACTAGTAGGAAAAACAGGTTTACTAAAGACAGAAATAAGACCTTATTATTTCAGGATGGTGTCTTGGGAATCTTGGACTGGAGAATTTAAAGAGATAAATAATGTTTTACATTTGGGACAGGAATTAAGGCAGGAATGAAATTGGGAATGCTTTTATATTAACAATGGGTAAGTAAAATGTGCATACTGCTCTGTAAATTATGTGGTTTTAGTATATTATCTCATTTGATCATCCCTGTGAAGTAAAAAGAGAAAGTATTGTCCAATCTGGTTCTCTGATGGTCTTGGGAGTTTGTAAACTCAGAGTTGAGCCATTTGGAATCCCTCACTTCAACATCCTCTTTAGGAGCAACATGCTCTTTAGAGGCGGGATGGGCAATACCTTTTAATTCCCACCCATTAATGATCAGTATAAATGTATATTCTCTACACAAGTGGCTTTTATGCCTTATTTCTTCCACAAGAGGTGTGCTAGTCACTGACACAATTAAAAGCTTCAGTGACTTGACTGGCCAAGCAGTGCCTCCTCAGGGCAGAAGATATACTGTTCTTGAAGCCTTTTCCCATTGCCTCCTTCCAATCTCAGCTGAAATTTTGTCGCCTACTCAGAGGCTTCTGTGACTGACAGTAGAACTTGGATGTCCCGTTGTCATCACGGTTCCCAGAGTACCCCAAACTTCTCATTTATGTCACCACCACAGTTTGTAATTTATTTGTTTAACATTTTGTTAAACAATCTGTTTAACATTAATTTTCACCACTGGATTATAAGCTCCATGAGAGAATAACTTAGTTTGTTGTTGGTGGTTTTTTTTTTGATGATCTCTTTTTCTGTGCTTAGTTCAAATGCCCAACTAATATTGATAGAATGAATGAGTGGGTTGATGAAGGGGACCCAAAGATGATGTAATGGAGCCATCTCTAGCTTGAGTAACAGAACATATAATTGAATACAATTATAGGTGTCAGATATTGGGTCTGTTTAAATAGCTATATGGTAACATGCTATTTACCAGAAGATGAAACAATTAAACACTAGGTCTAACAAGTAACATTAATAAATTTTTCTCTTTGGTAACATGCAAAATTGAGTGGCTTTAGGAATGTGGCAGTGTTTGAGGTAATAGCCTTCTCCCTCGGCTTTACATCTGCCTTCTCTTTCTCCTGATCGTTGACCTCTGCAAATACTTTGTTTTACTTTAAACTTCACTTCTATTTTCATTTTCTCGCAGATGAAAACAAAGTTTGTTTCTAAGTGTTAAGAGTTAAAAGACAGCACTGTTGGCAAAGTGTCTGTGAAAGGTCTTATTAACAAGCATAAAACTGAAGTTCTGTTATAGTAGAACTCTATCCAAATAATTTTCCAAATTCACATATGAACAAATCAAAGGATATTATTGTTATTTTGTTCGGTTGACAGGCAGTTGTGCAAAACAACAGAAAATATACTGAATGAGGTTCTTCTTTTTCTACTTACTAATGGCTGTTAACTTGGACAAGTCACTCACTTCTCCTAAGCCTCAGGTTCTTCATCTATAAAAGGATTTAATGATCTCTGGCATATTTACTGCACAGGCTTTATAAAGTAAAAATAAATATTGCATTTATGAAAGTACTTTTGGGGCGCCTGGGTGGCTCAGTCGTTAAGCGTCTGCCTTCGGCTCAGGTCATGATTCCAGGTCCTGGGATCGAGCCCCGCATTGGACTCCCTGCTCGGTGGGAAGCCTGCTTCTCCCTCTCCCACTCCCCCTGCTTGTGTTCCCTTTCTCACTTTGTCTCTCTCCGTCAAATAAATAAATAAAATCTTAAAAAAAAAATACTTTAGAAGTGCAAAGATTTATGCATATATAAGTTACTGTTACATGGTAAATAATTTTATACAGATTTTCTATATTAAAATGGAACACACATACTTTGTATGTCTACACATGATTTGTGTGGGAGAAAACGAAATTTCTTACATAAAAAAAGCATTTCTTAGTTTTCTTCCAGCCCTAAAATTATAAATTAAAACTCTCAGATAATTTGTAAGTTGTTTTGTTGTTGTCTTTGAAACTGCTGCCCTCTTGTGGCTCCTAGTGACAATTGCTTAGTTTGAATTACAACTCCTAATAGAAGTTTTATTTTTCCTTTGGGTATTATGTCCTTCAGTAATAAAAGCAAATTATATCATTTTAAGAAAACGAATTTAACTATGTATGAAAATGAATTTAACTATGTAAGATAACATAATGGATCAAAGTCAAGGCCATTTCCAGGCAACACTATTTTATTTTTATGTTTTTTTTTTTTTTCTTTTTCTTATAGCAGTGTGTTGAAGGTGACTCCTTCATTGATCTGAATTGTCACTCTTACTTCAGATTCAGCATAAGAGTCATTATCTTTAGGAAACTTCTCTTGACAGCACGAATTAGGCTCAGAGCCTCTTTTCCTTGTCCATGATTCTCTGTAAACACCACTTTCTTAACTGTCTACATTTGTACCAAGGGTGCCTGATAAGATCCTTGCTCATTATATCTAGTAAATATTTGTTGAATTGAATCCCCTAACCCCTTGCCTTGTTTTAACTTGTGCTGATAGCATTTTCTGACTCTTCTCTAATTATTACTTCTTGATCTCAAGGTACCTTGACTTCTAGCTTCTGGAGGCCATTGACATAATCGGGCTCTGGGCATTCAGTCTGAATCTTTCTTGGTTCTCTCCATTCAGGCTTTCAGTCTGTGAATGAGAATTTTAAAAAGCAGATGCATATAAACTGCTAGTGATGGACAAAATCTTGTATGTTCTGCTATTTCTTATTTGGAAATCGCAAGTTTAAATCTCAGAAATTTTAGAATGTGGGGTACCTGGGTGACTCTGTCGTTAAGCGTCTGTCTTCAGCTCAGGTCATGATCCCAGGGTTCTGGGATTGAGCCCCGCATCCGGCTCCCTGCTCAGAGGGAAGCCTGCTTCTCCCTCTCCCACTCCCCCTGCTTGTGTTCCTTCTCTCCCTGTGTCTCTCTCTGTCAAATAAATAAATAAAATCTTAAAAAAATTTTTTTTAGAATGTGTATAGACTTTAGGACTAGTCCTATCATTTCATTTTATAGTTGAACTTCAGACCCTGGAAACTGGATGATTTGTCCAGGAAGATAAATTAAGGAGATAAAATAGATATATTCTATTTTATAATGAACTAGTTCCTTAATATCTTTTTCTTTAAAAATATTGGTGGCTATTGACATCTGTTATGGACTGAATTGTGTTCCTCCAAAATTCATATGTTGAAGTCCTAACCCCCAGTACCTCAAAATATGACTGACTTTGAGGACAGGACCTTTGAAAAAATAATTCAGAAAAAAATAAGGTCATATGGACAAGCTCTAACCAGTATGACTGATGTCCTTATAAGGAGAGGAGATTAGGGGACACACACACACACACACACACACACAGAAGATCATGTAAAGACTTTGGAGGATGGTGGCCCTTTAGAAGCCCAGGAGAGAGGCCCTGGGCTTAACCCTGCCATCACCTTGACCTTGAACTCCTATTTTCCAGAACGGTGAGGACATCAATAAATTTCTGTTGTTTAAGCCACCCAGTCTATGGTACCTTGTTATGGCAGTCTTAGAAAACTAATTCAGTATTCCAGTTTTGTTTTTGTTTTTATTATCATCATCCCTATGGAACATATGTTTTATGAAAGTGGGCAGAATTTCTCTTGTTTTCTTCAATGTCTTTTCTGTATAGGTCTGGAAACTGTTAATTCAGATAGAAAATAAGTTTTGTCCATCTACTCCTGATTCCTGTGTGTTTCTATTCCTTATTGGTAGTTAGGACATGGTATTTCTCTGATGTCATGTTCCATTCCTTACTATAGATTTACAGGGAGGTTGTTCATCTAATGGAGAATTTTATTGGAATTAAAACCCATTATTTTCATTTCTAATTAGCTTCACTGGATCATTCATTCCCTTTTAAAAAATCATACTAATAATTTAAGCAAAATGTAAAGTCAATATATATGAATATAAGTGAATTTGAGTACATATATGTCTATATCTCCAGATTCACCCAGGACTTAAGTATTAATCTAGGAGAGCAATAAACTGCTATTTGAGGTTGGCAGGATAGCTTAAGTAGTGTCCTAGTGGCCTAAATTTATTACTGGTCCCAAAGGTTTCTAATGTAAAACTAGAAGTAAAATAGGCTTACTTATATCATTCAATTTTTATTTGCTTTCTGGAAACATCTATATAATCCCATGAGATAAATATTCTCAGTGATTATTTCCACAAGCAAGCAATTTTTCTCTTCATTCATATACTGCCTTTGGATATATGGATTTTGTCAAATTTTAAAGTTCTTTTGGTTGGGAGAACTACTCTTTTTTTTTTTTTTTTCAGATGGTTTGATTTTTTTTGTTATTGAGTTGCATGAGTTATTTACATATTTTAGATATCAAACCCTCATTGGATATATGATTTGCAAATACTTTCATTTAGTAAGTTGCCTTTTGTTTTCTTTTTTTTTATTCTTATGTTAATCCCCATACATTACATCATTAGTTTTAGATGAAGTGTTCCATGATTCATTGTTTGTGCATAAAACCCTGTGCTCCATGCAGAATGTGCCCTCCTCAATACCCACCACCAGGCTAACCCATCCTCCCATCCCCCTCCCCTCTAGAACCCTCAGTTTGTTTTTCAGAGTCCATTGTCTCTCATGGTTCGTCTACCCCTCCGATTTCCCTCCCTTCATTCTTCCCCTCCTGCTACCTTCTTCTTCGTCTTCTTTTTTTTTTTTCTTTACATATATTGCATTATTTGTTTCAGAGGTACAGATCTGAGATTCAACAGTCTTGCACAATTCACAGCGCTTACCAGAGCACATACCCTCCCCAGTGTCTATCACTCAGTCACCCCATCCCTCCCACCCCACCCCCCCACTCCAGCAACCCTCAGTTTGTT